ACTATAAAACAAGTAGAACCACAAGATATAGTAGAAAGATATTGCCGAGAACTTTTTTTAAAATGATAGAGGAAATAAACCTGAAAGACATTTGGTGGGAGAGAAATGGGAAAAATAGACAATACACTTTCTATTCCGATAGACACTTATCTTGGTCCAGATTAGATATGATATGGACAACAATGGAATTGACTTTAAATATTGAACAAGTGAATATAGATACTAACACATGGGCGGATCATAACCCGGTGCTATTTGGAAAGGGCAAAAAGGCAGATCTAGATGGACATTGAATAATACAATATTAAAAGAGAAAGACTTTGCACAGAAAATGAAATGAGAATTGGACTTTTTCTTTAAGGAAAATAAGAAAGAAACATCGATACAAAATCGTTGGGATACAATGAAAGCCTTTGCCAGAGGATTAATTACTGATTATACACGGAAAAGAAATGTGAAGAAAAGACAAACCCTTAAAATACTGAGAGATGATCATAAAAGACTTGAAAAAGAACTCCAGAAAGATCCATATAAGAAAGATGTAAAAATTAAAATGGATACTATAAAGCACAAAATGGATCTACTGGAGAAGGAAGAATTAGCTCAAAAAATAAGAACTGCTAAACAGAATTACATTGAAAATGCAAATAAACCAGGCAGATGGTTAGCATATAAATTGAAAAAAGAAAGAGAATCAAGAAAAATAACACAACTAATTGATCATCAAGAGCTACCGTGACGTCATATCGTCACCGCTACCGGCTCGGCCGAACTGGACCGAACGAGGAGGAACCCACCACTGATTAACACATCCTGTTCTTAAAAAGCAATGAAGATCATCCCATATCAAAAAAAAATTTGCACTCCCAGATTGGGGAAGGCTAGCTGGCTGGCTTCCCCAGTCATAAATAGATATATAAATAATAGTAATCATAATCAGGGCCTCTCTTCATTATTTATTCCCAGCACAATCTCCACCATTCACTCCCATGCCTCTATAAATTCATCTGGACACGATCTATCCAGTGCCATTGGCATTGGCTCCTAATTTTTCTCTGATTAAATGAACCATTTGAAAACAGCTACGACAGGAAACTCAATGTTCCATTTTCTTAAGACAACATGCACTTCAGAAGGAATTGCATGAATGTTTACTAAAAATTAAGCAGGAAATACTTTCCCACGGTAGCTCTTGCCTTCTGAGTTTTATCGGGTCATGAAAGTTAAGATTTATTTTAAGCCAGAAGTTAACAACTCTCCTCTCGTTTCCTGTCTTCTGGCAGAGTAAAGACACATTTTGGAAATTCAAGGGGGACGTATTTACATTAACGTTGAGAATGCAAGTTTATATTCTTGCACTCTGATAATAACACATTGTCGCCTACTGTTTGTTGATATGGTACTAAGTAGACCTTGAGATGAGCTACATGGTTGTTCTACATTTTTCATTATACAGTACTCTGTGCAAAAACTATGAAATACTTTGAGTTGTGTACCTACATGACAACTCTCTAAGACTCTCATGTCAGAATTGATGAGTAGAGTAGAGTAGAGTAGAGTAGAGTAGAGTAGAGTAGAGTAGAATAGAATAGAATAGAATAGAATAGAATAGAATAGAATAGAATAGAATAGAATAGAATAAAATAGAATAGAATAGAATACTGTGTTTCCCAAAAAATAAGGCCTTGTCTTATATTTTTCTGAACCCTGAAATAAGCGCTTGGCCTTATTTTCAGGGAGATCTTATCATTTTGGGGTGTGTGGAGCAAGATGGGGCTCCTCTTGCCGTCTTACCTGATTTCCAGCTCTGCATTTACATATTTTTGGGGAGGGCTTATTTTTGGGGAGAGGCTTATTTTAGTGCATGTGTTCAAAAGCCGGATTGGGCTTATTATTGGGGAATGTCTTATTTTCGGGGAAATAGAATAGAATAGAATAGAATAGAATAGAATAGAATAGAATAGAATAGAATAGAATAGAATAGAATCTGAAAGGGACCTTGGAGGTCTTCTAGTCCAGCCCCCTGCTCAATCAGGAGAACCTATACTATTTCAGATAAGTGGCTGTCTAGACTCTTCTTAAAAGCATCCAGTGATGGAAGAATGGCTCTGAGCTTCGTCTCAGATATATTACAGATAATATGGCTTAAGTCACTGCAGAATTTTAAGAACAGATTGCACTTGTCTGGAACGATATAGGATTTTTTGCTTGAGCAGGGGGTTGGATTAGAAGACCTCCAAGGTCGCTTCCAACTCTGTTATTCTGTTAAGCCTTCACTAACTTTCTCTCTGGATTTGAGGGGCATGAATTCCCACCAGCTGACACTGGAAACACCCTCCTGTTTATAGCTTTCCCTTGCAATTTGAAAATAATCCCAGCTATCTGAAGTTATCCAATATTCCCAATTAAAAAAACAGTACCCTACAGTTGAGATCCTGCATACCTTAGGGGCAGGTGACATGCTACCAGATATATACTAAGAAAGGACAAATTAATCAATGTTTATTTTTCTCCATTTTTCATTTTTGTTCACGTTTCTCATTTGTGCCAGCATCTATGCATTCTGATGCAGACATCAACGTACATCACACCGTGGTGTATTGTACTGCGGTTGCAATTTTTGCTTGTGACAAACCTGCGTTTTTGGCAAACGTGATACAGTGCATGTTTCCTATCAATCGGCTTTTTTTTTTCCCCTACTATATTTTTATGTGGCCAATTTCACTATAAAAAAATGGGAGAATTTCAAATTTCAAATAATAAAGCTTTGGATTATCATGATGGTTCAAAAAGGAAGAAATACACACGGTTGCAGAGAAAATGCAGGCTAAATTAATATTCCCCCTCCTGCCTGATTGATGATGTGTCATCAAGCCGGTGACAGCTCTTAGCAGCCACACAGATAGATTTTCTCCCGGAATCATCAATCATTTCATAATTTTTGTCCGTGTGTGTGTATCTGTGTGTGTATCTGTGTCTGTGTAGTTGTGGGTGAGTAGGTGTATTTCTATAAAATACAGAAGTGATTTACCATTGCTTTCTCATGCACAATAGCAATAGCACTTAGACTTATATACCGCTTTACAGCCAATGGTGGGATTCAAGTAATTTAACAACCGGTTCTCTGCCCTAATGATTTCTTTCAACAACCAGTTTGCCAAACTGCACAGAAAGTTAACAACCGGTTCTCCCGAAGTGGTGTGAACTGGCTGAATGCCACCACTGTTTACAGCCCTCTCTAAGCAGTTTAGAGAGTTAGCATATTGCCCCCAACAATTTGGGTCCTCATTTTACCCACCTCGGAAGGATGGAAGCAGGGGTGGGCTTCAAAAATTTTAGCAAGGGGTTCTCTGCCGGTTGCTGGGTGGGTGTGGCCATGGTGGACGTGGCCTAGTCAGCCTCCTGCACCACAGGGGGGGGCGTTTTTGTCCTCCCCAGGCTGCAGAGGCTTTCTTCGAGCCTCTGGGAGGGCGAAAACGGCCTCCCCAGGATCCAGAGGCCCTTCCAGTAGGTCCGTTTTTTGCCCTCCCCAAGCCTCAGTGCGCATCCTGCACTTACCTGCATCCAAAACAGGCCACGTGGGGACTCTTGGGAGGGGCGAGGCGGGGTGGGCAGGGCCAGATAGGAGTGGGATTTGGGGGTTCTCCGAACTGCACAGAATTTTAGTTAGAGGTTCTCCTGAACCCCTGTGAACCTCCAGCAGCCCACTGGGGGTAGGGGGAGAATCTCTAGGACTCCCATACTGATAGTTTTAGACTTACAACCACAATGGGCTCCAGAATTTCCAATGCTAAGCAAGACAATTGTTAAGTGAGCGGGTTGCCTGATTTTGTGACATTTTGGTCACTCTTGTGAAGTGACTCGCTGCAATTCTTAAGTGAATCATGCAGTCATTAAACGAATCTGGCTTCCCTCATTGAACTTTGCTTATTGGAAGCCACAAATGACAATTGTGTAACCCCAGGATGTTGCAATCCTCATAAACACCGATTGCCAAATGGAAAAAGTTTTGATCACATAACTGTAGGGATGCTGCAACAGTCGTAAGTGCGAGGACCAATCATAAATTGGTCCAAAGCAGTCGTAACTTTGAACTGAATGGTGGTAAGGCAAGGACTAGCTGCATCATTCCGCAATCATTTTCTTGCTATAATCTTCTTTCCAATACAAATTGTCCATGGCCGATGTCTTATAGTAAGTCAAAAGCAGGTTTACTTGGAAGTAACTTTCATTATTTTAGTCATTAATATATAGATAGTCCTCAGCTTACAATTGAGCCTAAAATTTCTTTTGTTAAGACATTTGCTAAGTGAGTTTTGCCCAGTAGTGAAAACCAATTTTTTTTACTACCGGTTCTGTGGGCGTGGCTTTGTGGGCATGGCCTGGTGGGTGTGGCAGGGGAAGGTTACTGCAAAATCTCCATTCCCACCCCAGCCAGAGGTGGTATTTGCCAGTTCTCCGAACTACTCAAAATTTCCGCTGCCGGTTCTCCAGAACCTGTCAGAACCTCCTGGATTTCAACCCTGGTTTTTCCCCATTTTACAACGTTTCTTGCCACCGTTGTTAAGGGAATCCCTGCCGTTGATAAGTTAGTAGCCTGGTTGGTAAGTGAATCTGGCTTCCCTGTTGACTTGGCTTGTCAGAAGGTCGCAAAAGGGGATCCCATGACCTTCGGACCCAGCAACGGTCATAAGTATGAACCAGTTGCCGAGCATCTGAATTTTGATCAGGGATTGTAAAATTGTAACTCTGAAAAACTGTCATAAGTCACATTTTTCAGCATCGTTATTAGCTTTGAATGGTCACTAAATGAACTGTTGTAAGTCGAGGACTACCTGTATTTAAAATTCATGCTTTTGGTAGTCTACTTGCTCAGCAAACACAGAGAAGAAATTGGTCCTTCGGACAGCAGGCAGAGACAAAACAGAGGCAGGCTTAGGCATTCAAGATCACTCTTGCAGCCTGTTTGCTCTTAAATATTTCACAGCCAACTGATAAAGTTTAATAAACAACTGTCAGTGCAGCATAAATCTGCTAGGCAACGCTGGATCTCGACTCCATGACTCGCTTTTCAAACCCACGTCAACGCACAGCCTAATAGGCCTCTTCAGTGACTTTTTAAAGCTGCAATCAAAGGGAATTTTCCATTTATCTTGCTCTCCAGAGTTATATGGGAAATCTTATTTTAGCAATTATTGAGAGTGGAACAACGAAGGGCATTTCCTCTGTAAGAGCTCAGCGGTGGACGACATGGAGAAGCAACAGTGGAAACATGAAACTTGCTTCGTGTTGTTTCTTGTCCTGGTTCAAATATTTGGCTTAGAAGATGGCAACCGACAGACAACCGAGATCTGTTCCACGCATACCATTTTACCTGGACCGAAAGGTGAGGCACTAGAAAGATTTCTGAGGTAAAAACACAAATGCCTTTTCTGTCATTCTACTCTCCCCTTCTCTTCTTCTCCTCCTGCAAGCTCTTATGCCATAAGAAATGGGAAATAAGGTTGCCTACTTTCCAACTGCTTCCTGCGGTGATAATGTTGCTGAGTCGCTTATCGTGTAAGCTTTCAATCTTATTTTTAGTGCAAAAGCATGAAAAGGGTTATTTGCGGAGCCGTCCAGCACATCTCCAGACAACAAAACCGAACCAGCCTAAGCTGGTTAGAGGAAAATTGGAATTTTCGACTGAGGAATTATGGCACGAATTAATGAATATTTCAAACATAATTTCCTGCTTATTAATCAATGCGTTTAAGGATCCAAATATTTTCATCGATCTAACTGCCGTCATCACCCGATGGGCCTACAAAATTTCCTGAGAGTGTTTTTGGCAAAGAAAACAAGTGTGCAAATGTTTTGATTTCAGTGAAGGACAGCTGTTAGCCCCAGCATCTTTACCTAGAATTTCTGATTATAAACTCACCTTTAGCAATTCTGGAAAAGATTTTGCTTTTAATTAAATGCTACATGGATGGATTTTGGAAATCCCTGTACTGTGTAACTTTCATGTTGCAAAGATTATTTGTCTCGATTACTGTAGGAATAGCAATAGGCCTGTGAATTTATATATCTGCCTGCCTGACTGCCTATATCTATCTATCTATCTATCTATCTATCTATCTATCTATCTATCTCTATTTATCTATCTATCTATCTATCTATCTCTATCTATCTATCTATCTATCTATCTATCATCTATCTATCTCTATCATCTATCTATCCATCTATCATCTACTATCTAGCTATCTAACTATCTATCTAACTATCTATATCTATCATCTATCAGAATAATAGAATTGGAAGGACCTTGGAGGTCTTCTAATCCAACCCACTGCTCAGACAGGAGACCCTATTTCAGGGGTCTGCAACATCAAACACTCAAAGAGCCATTTGGACCCGTTTCCCACAGAAAAGAAAACATCGGGAGCCACAAAACCCTTCCCATGCCTGACTATTTCTTGAGCAGTCACAAAACTAGCATATATAGTTGAAGTAAACGTTCTGTTTTCTTCAGAAACTTTACTTTTCTTGGATTTATCCATGGTTGGCCTACAGGGGGTTGAAAAGCTCAATAAATTGCATGCCAGCGGGTGTCGCACATTGGCGGTTGTGACACATATTTTGAGTGACAGGGAGACGCAGCAGAGGGTTGAAAGAGCCATATGCGGCTCCAGAGCCTCAGGTTGATGACTCCTGCCCTATACCAGTGCTAGTCAGTCAGTCAGTCAGTCAGTCAGTCAATCAGTCAGTCTATCTATCTATCTATCTATCTATCTATCTATCTATCTATCTATCTATCTGCCACCCATTTTACCACAGGGCACAAATCCATACTGTTCACATGTTTATGACTGAAGCGTTCGGCTGGCTGAACGTTGCCCAACGTTGCATCCATGGTATGTGTAATACTATGATTGCAATTTATGACAGTTTTTCTGGAAATCTGTATTGACTGCTGGTTTAGAACAACAAAGAATATCCCGTAGCAAACAATGGGTTTTCTTAACAACACAGCATTCGCTTATCAACTTCAGCTTTACGACCTTCACATTTGCTTAACAACCGCCAGAAAAAAAGTTGTAAAATTGGGTTCAGTCCAGAGGTGGGTTTCAGCAGGTTCTGACCAGTTCTGGAGAACCGGTAGCGGAAATTTTGAGTAGTTCGGAGAACCAGTAGTAAAAATTCTGACTGGTCCCACCCCCATCTATTCTCTGCCTCCCAAGTCCCAGCTGATTGGGAGGAAATGGGGATTTTGCAGTAACCTTCCCCTGGAGTGGGGAGGGAATGGGGATTTTACAGTATCCTTCCTCTACCACGCCCACCAAGCCACGCGCACCAAGCCATGGCAAGAGGTATCCATCCATGCCCACCAAGCCACACCCACAGAACCGGTAGTAATTTTTTTTGAAACCTACCACTGGTTCAGTCACAGGGTAACCTGCTTTACGGCTGTCACAATTTATGACCGTAATTGTCAGGGATCAGATTATAGTTGTAACTCAAGGACTCCCTGTGGCATCTCTCTGATCAATGAGCGATCTCAGTGGCAATATTATGTACACTCTTATTGTTACAATCTGATTGTACTTGATGGAATTTGCACCCAAAGATTCCAAGCAGAGCAAACTCAGATAATTATAAACTGCTTGAAGTGAGAATTTGTCCCTAACTGTTCTGCAAAACATCAAGCTGGCTAAATAAACAGATTAAAAATCCAGCATTGACATTTAAGCAGAGCACATAATTCATCGATTCTAGTAAAAGTGTATTTAACTAAAAACTTTATCTGTGAGAGTTGACAACTAAAATCTTGTGGCATGGGCGATCTGATTATCTCCACAATCCATGCTGACTTATAGCATAGTTACTTACAGCAGAGAATGCAATAAAAATAAAAGCAAAATCTCTCTCTCTCTCTCAAGTAAAATTTGGGAGTCCTGCCGCAGTATACAGGATCGAATCCCTGTGGTTGCTGATGAATAATAAAACAGTAACGGTAGTAAGGGCTCAAATGGAGGGTTTGAGACTGCCCCCTGCTGGCTATGTATAAGAACTTCTAAGACTCTAAAATGATGAGAATAAATTGAAAACACGTATGTGACACTATCAATTCTCCACTGTCAATTAAATCAGCTCAGCTTTGTTCAGGTTGTCAAACAAACCTGGGAAAAAATGTTACTGCTTTTAGGAAGGATCTAATTCAAATACATGTGATATTAAAATCTAATTTGCAGAACTACAGTACTCCATTCCAATATAAAATATGCAGCGATCCTTGTTTTCCTTCTGAAGATTTTTTTAAAAGCAAAAATCAAAAAAGAGTTCCTCATAATAGAACAAAACAGACATATATAAGCTTTTTCCTGTCATGTTTCTTTTGTAAGGTGGATATAATGGAAGCTCAGGCTAACCCAGAAGTCTGTCCAATAAATACACAGGAGCCTTCTCCAACACCACAGCTCAAATGAGTTGATTTTGCCTTGCTTTTTCAAGGTCCAACTTTCACAGCCAAGGTACCTATGGGGGAACACAATAGAGAAGACTAACCTACAGTTGATTGGTGGCCATAAAATCAGGCTCAGCTCTTGGTGAACATATCAGCAAATCCTGGTCACCTGGATTTGAGGCAAATCATAAATTGCATTTCTTTCCAGTACTTTCATAGAACAGAGTAGAGTAGAGTAGAGTAGGGTAGGGTAGGGTAGGGTAGGGTAGGGTAGGGTAGAGTAGAATAGAATAGAATAGGGTAGGGTAGGGTAGGGTAGGGTAGGGTAGGGTAGGGTAGGGTAGGGTCGAGTCGAATAGAATAGAATAGAATAGAATAGAATAGAATAGAATAGAATAGAATAGAATAGAATAGAATAGAATAGAATAGAATAGAATAGAATAGAATACGGTAGGGTAGGGTAGGGTAGGGTAGGGTAGGGTAGGGTAGGGTAGGATAGAACAGAACAGAATGGAATGGAACGGAACAGAATAGAATGGAATAACAGAGTTGGAAGGGACCTTGCAGTTCTTCTAGTCCAACTCCTGCTCAGGCAGCAAACCCTATACCTGTGATAGCAAACCTACGGCATGCAGAGCCAGGGGTGGCACAAAGAGCCCTCTCTGCTGGCACACACGCCGTCACCCCAGGTCAGATCTCTGTGGCATTTCTTTTGTGAGCTTCTGTTTCGCTGCAAACAACGAAACAGAAGCTCACAAAAGAAAAAGATCTTACCTCTTGCCATGCTGCCAGTGTTGGGATGCCCCACCTCCTGCCAGCCAGCTGGTCTTTGGGTCTCTGCTGCACATGCATGCATGTCCGCGCATATACACACACATGTTGGTGCATGCACATGTTCACAGTTTGGGCATGTGCGCACACAGTTTGAGCACTCGGTGTCTAAAATGTTCGCCATCACTGCCCTATACAATTTCAGACAAATGGTTGTCCAATCTCTTCTTAAAAACTTCCAGTGTTGGAGCATTCACAGCTTCTGGAGGCCAGTTGTTCCACTGGTTAATTGTTCTAACTGTCAGGACATTTCTCCTTAGTTCTAGGTTGCTTCTCTCCTTGATTAGTTTCCATCCATTGCTTCTTGTCCTGCCCTCAGGTGCTTTGGAGAATAGGTTGGTCCCCTCTTCTTCATGGCAGCTCCTGAGATATCGGAAGACTGCTATCATGTCACCCCTAGTCCTACATTTCATTAAACTAGACATACTCATAAAGTTGGCTCTTTATGTCTTGAATAGAATCTTAATTATTTCCCAATTCGTTTGGGAAATTTCTTTCTTCTTGACCAGGCCATGTAATGGCCATGCTTTAATGTTTTTATGTTTTCCCATAAAAGCAAATGCCACACTCTTTTTTTCCATAGCTATAATGTCCAAAGAGACCTTGTCTTTGCTACAATAACCCAACACAGCTACCTCTGAATTATGTGACTTCAACAAATATTCAGACTGTAATTTTCAATGCCCTTGCTCAACTGCCCCAAGGATATAAGGACGTCCAATTGGGAAGATCTATTGATGTAATTGCACAATTGGGCCTCCACATCAAAAATGATGTGAATATTTTGGTGTGTTGGGGGGGAAAGAAAAGGGATAGCAACGTGCAATGAAATTTAATAGGAACTTCAAAGGGATTTGAATGGAGTTTTAAGTGAAGTAAGTGAAGGCATTTTGGAAGGGATAAAATGGGAGTACACCATACCAGTGTGGTGTGTTTGGAGGGTTTCTCTTTCATTATTCTGACAAATGTCAATTATAAACTCCCTGGCATCGGTCGGCACCTCGAAAGCCTGTTTCTTGTGGTCACTGCTGCTTTCACTACCCATCTAATAATCATAGTTGCAGAAATTCTCTTCTGAAAAATGATACTACCACATTCCAAATTCCTTG